GTCCTGGATGTAAGTACAGCCTTAATTCACATCAGACTACTGCTGGGGCCTCTCTCTGCACTTGCACAATAATTGGTTTCCATCCCAACAATAGCAAATGCACATTTTATCATTTCCCTACATAGCTGCAGGCACACAAATGAAAAACTGGCACAGAAAATAAAAAGCAAAGCAGGAAGATCATCCATCTCTGCTGAGAAAGAGAAAGTGGACGGAGGAGAGTTGTATTTATGTGCCTTACTCTCAAATTAAACAGTGTGTGAAGTGCTTTTTGTTTGTGTGTGCATTTTTTTTTTTCGTTTACAATAAAGACACACATGAATCCACTTTAAGGAGGGTCTGGAAGCATGGAAAATTGAGGTCAGGAGATTTAAAGTTGAGGTTGTTGGGAAGAGGATTAAAGAGAAGAAGATCCAGGTATACACAGAGAGAATAAAATATTTACATATTCCAAAAATAAATCTTTCTTTAAAAAGGGCAACTTCATATCGTTAATATTTAAGCATAATTAACTCAGTGTACATTTGCTGAACACAGAATATGGATGTGAATGTGTATTTTGATTATAGTTTAAGTCGTATATAAGAGTGTCCTTATGATAGTTGTCAAAAATAATCTTTGTTTAGCTTCAGTTTGTATTATGTACTTTTTGTACAACCATGTCTGAACATTTCTTATATTGACACTTATGGTGTATACATGCTTTTGTTACTCATCTTAACACTTGATGATATAAGTGGACCTCACCTTCCAATGTGTCTCAACACTTCCACAACCCAAGAAGACCCTGTGTGGTCGAAAGGGGTCAGCATTGTTTCCTGATTGTTTATGTTTTTTACAATAAAAAGCCCTGATTTAATAGAAGTACGACCAGTATATCCTTGGCTCTGGCGAGAGTGGCCTGTGGCTTCGCTCCTCCTCTACTTATTTTGTTTTATCTTCAAGAGCACCTGGTGTTACCTCGAGTTCATCACACTGCCACTGAGAACACTGTGTTACCAAGTTACCTAAGTTCTTGTCACATATTTGGCTTTTGATGGCAGTATGGAAATACAATATACATAATTGTTCCCACACAATCAGTTAAAGGTATATACATAATTCTTCCTTTGCAAAAACACAGAAAAATCCCCCTCTCCTTTGACTGTTGCACGCTCCAAAAACTGGTTCCTAATCTATATGCGTCCTCTCTCTGACTTCTTGTTGTGTGCTCTGACTCCAGAGAAAGTGTCAGTGGCAAAGCAGTGAGCTTTCAGAGCGTAAGTGAGTCTGGAGTGGCTCATCTGAAACACGGGTCAATACAGACACTTCACCACCAGCACATCACAGACAGTATCAGTGAGAAGCAAAGCTGCTGCAAAACTGCTGAGTTTTTTTTGGCTCACATGTTTATCTTCAGTGTTTTGGGATTAGCATATGCCTCAGTGTAATTTGTGAGTAATGGTCTGTGTTTTTCTGGCTGTGAAATCAGCAATTTCTAAGAGTTCTGGACAGGCTGCATATCCATATTTGAAGTCTGCTGACACCCCGGGTTAAGCCTCTGGGTCTTTCATCTAATACAGTCCCAGCACATTTCTCTCTTCACCTCACAGAGCAGAGGTTCACCTTTACATTTAACCATGTTTAGCACTCTTCTCCTTCTGCACCCAGCATGACCCCCCACTGTAATCTGCCCCACTCCAGCCAACTTGTGTGCCACTCCCCCACCTGTGTGGCCCAGTCTCCACTGATGGCTAAAGCTTGTTAACACCGAAGACACATTTGTGCAGTTAGCTGGCAAATGTTGAGGGTGGAAAGGGAGTCAGTGATCAAAGGACATGAAGAGAGAAGAGAAGATGAAGAAGCCTCACCTCCCCGGCACATTTTGAGCCTCTGGAGAAGGCAAACTTTTCAACCCCCTGACCCAAGGACGTCCTCTCCTCTGGCCAGACAGACAGATAAGTGTTTAGTTGTTGTGAGTGTTCACCGAGACCTCATAGAGCCCTTTTAAGTTAACATGTCAGTCAAGCATCACCATGGAAACCTATTTCTAAATAAAGTATAAACTTCTGGTGTCACTTGAAGCAGGGCTATTTGTTGGAGGACTGATGTCCTGCCTCAGAGGCCATCTCAGGCCAATTTCTCGGCCAATACCACCAACAGCTCCATCATCGAGTACAGAGACCTGGACGCTCCAGACGACCTGGACTTCTTTTAAACCCGGACAGAGCTCTGGATGTTTTTTAAACCTTTTTGCTTTTTACAGGAAGTAAGCCAGATTTGTGCTACCTGGCATTTACCTGCAACACATTCCTATCTGATAGGAAGAGGAAGAGGATAGAAGATTCGGAAGAGGGATATGGGGGCAGATTGAAGGGATAAGTTTTGGCGGAGGAAGGATAGCACGCGAGTGAGAGCTAGGTGATGAAGACGTGAACCCAATCTTCTATGCGTTGACTGTACTGATTAGAGGTTTGTGCTGAGAAGAGCCTCTCTGTCCCCTCATTCCTTCTGTTTACTTTTAGCTCCACCAGCCCATCTCAATACAGGAATCCCTGCAACCAGCGTGCCCTACTCACCTTCTCTTCTCAGCTTCATCCATAACACCATCATCAATGGAAGCACACGTGCTCCTTACATGCCCATCCAGTCCAATTACAAAATGTCATCTTAACACGGAATATGAAGGGTTTGGTAAAAGTGGGATGTCCATTAGTGAAAGTAAAATTAGCAGCCTGATTGGTGTAAAAAAGAGATCTGTGACATGTCCGAATCATACATTCTTGCTATATGATTGTCTAACAGCTCTTTGTGTGTATATTTGTTGAACCCAGTGGAGCGCTGATGATGCAAACTCAGCCCATTAAAGGCTGAGGGGTGACTGCAGCAAAGGCCAGCTAATGCTTTGAGACTTTCAAAAAGCCTGCAGGGAGCCCAGAGTAAAGAGGTGGGCTGGAAGCAAACTACAGATCTGGGGAATAATAATAAATAGACAAATAAGTGGATGGAATGGCATGGAGAAGCTGGGGAAATAGCACAAGTATTCTCACGCTGCACGTTTGTTTATTTATGGCGTCTGAAGGCCCAGTCTGGTTGTCGGCTGGGGGCTGGTGGAGCACGCAGCATAGCTCTTTCCCCCTCTCTCAGAGCTCAGCTCCCCAGCTTTCATTAAGTGTCATTACCAGTACTTTCAGAAAGCTGGACGGGCTGAGACCTGACATCCCCTCTGCAGATAGTTTGCCATGCATATGGATGGATTTCTGATCCCTCTCATCCACCACTGAGGAGGGGGAATTAGGCCAGCCAGAAGGATAGCAGGGGGCTTAAAGGGTACGTCCATATCTGACTTTAATGGCAAAGATGGAGCTATTACTGCAATTGAGGGACAGTGTTCATGCTTGGTTTGTTGTTGGGTGTATGTCAATCAGGTTATACACATTGTTAGAGTCCACTTAAGATTTTCGCTTTTGGGACCATGCAGGTCATGTACACTCATGCATATACATTTAAATGCATTTAATTCTCTTGCGAAGGAATGTTTTTGTCTTTTTCAACCAGTTGTACATCATAACCACAATGCCACAATTTAAATGTGCATTTCTAGCAGTATGGTATTCATTAGCCATTTGCTCTTCTAGTTCACTCACTTTGAGAATGCCCTCTGATTGATGGGAGGGAGGGGGTTGTATTTATTTGTATATCATGGAATTAAATATTCATATTGTATGCTTTCCCAAGCAGAAGTTATCCAGATTTGGTGTAAATGGTACTTGCGATTAGATTTTCACAGCAGATTGCTGTTATTAAGGCGAAAAAGCCAACTCCTTTGAGCAGTCATCTTCCTGGGAGGCAATCTATTTCTCTTTCACGCAGCCAGAGTGCTGGACCGGGCTCTTAATGCACTGAAGCAAAAGTGCTTCGGTCCGCAACCTTTCACGCCTTCAGCTCTCCTTTATGTGATTGAATAGTTAATAACTATGAGTCGCCTTTGAAAGCTCCGTGCCGTCGGTCCTTCTGAGGCACTTCTCTTTTTTTGTGTGTGTGTTTGGCTGCTGTACCTGCCCATTGCTCAGTCTGCCTGCATGTCTATTTGCCCCAGATGCCAAGTCGACTGATAGCCTACCTCTTCTCCACCAAGCCCCTCTTACTTTCATCTTTGTCTCTCGCCTGACTTGCTGCTTGTGTGTCTGGCTGTCTGGCTGTCTTAGTCCATACATCAGAATTTCTGAGGGCTAGGGATCAGCTTTTTCATCTTGTATTTCCTCTTTTTCTTCTAAAAACATTCAAACACACACACACACACACACACACAACACGCTGGCTCACACAGCTCATTAGCCCATCCCACGCTCACAGCTCTGGCAGAATGTGACCCTGCCTAATTGTGTACCATGCTCATTTGTTCTCCCTGCATGATGTGACGATTGCTTATTTATTCTCCTCAGGGCTCCCATCTCACATTAAAATGATTGACTCATTTCATTCACTGCACATTTTCAAGCTTTATTTGATAAGCTCGTTTCCCCTGGCATTCAAATCCCTCCTTTTCCCATGCTTAAAAGTTAGAATGTTACTGAGGCACATTATTATTCATACTTGGGATTGTTTCTCCGGCTAATTATCTGTGTTAGAAAATAATTTTGCACGTGTGATTCTGTTTATTCCGCTGGAATTGAGAAGCACAAAAGGGCAGACATTAACGATGCAGTTTGAATGGCCGAAGAGCCAATTGTGTACACAAAGCTGGCAGACGCGGTCAACAAGAAGCTTAAGAGGGATTGGGACACTGCGGATGCTCGAGCAAATTTGCATTGTGTTACAATTTACATCTGGTTAGAGAGTGTATCACAAATAACAAAGCCATCAGCCTTTTTGTCCAATCATGTAATGAGGGAGTGTTTTGACACACAAAGGAGCATAACAAGCAACTGCTGATTGGGGGTCTGAGCAGCATTGTTACAGGGGGGATTTTAGCTCCTGTGATTTTTCTAGCTAACAGTCTTTTTTTTTTCTCCCTCCAGCTACTGTATATCGACCAGGCCTTAGTGACACAGCAGTTGTCGGGAACCTGATCAGTGCTGTGGTAGGTCAATTTAAAATCCCACTTGTGATGGAGTCTGGCACAACTAATTCTATATGTACATATATTTGAAAACACTGTTGTAGGGGATTGCTGTAAACAAAGTTTTGTTGTGTTATCTGATACAATGCCATTAAATAATAATAATAATAATAATAATAATAATAAAGCTTTTAATTATATAGCACCTTAACACACACTGGTTTATAAAGTGCTTAACAGACAGCAAATGCATAAAAAGAACAAAGCAAAAGAAACAACTCAACAGCATAATATTTAGCATAATAAAGTGCCTATCTATTCTATCAATCTATCTAGAAAGATGTGGTTTGTGGAGGTTACTCACATACTATTCACAACTGCACCAACTAAAATAGGAAGTGCCATGTGCGGCTGATACAAAAGTTAGTTCAGGGATTCTTTACTTGTTAGTCAAAATCGGCCAATATTAATTTTATCTAGGCTTTTTTTTTTCATGCTGCTGGTTGATTGGGACTTTATTCAGTCCAGAAAAGATGTTGGACTCTAAAGAGACAGATTGTTTGAAAGCAGTGAAAAGAGGAAGCCACCATACACCTTTAGTTTTTGATATGGGTTCAGCTCCTACAGTATAACGACCCAATCCTGCATTTCCAACTGACAGCAACTTTCATTGTTTTTAGCAACCTTAATGCTCTTTGATCATCCATGTATTGCATGTATTGTCTGAATGAAGTCCCTTGTGCTTTAGCTGTGCTCTGACTGAGAGAGGAGTACAGCAGAGGGCCCAAGGAAGAAGAGCCAAACTCCCAACGCCTGTGTGTTCAAAGCAGCCACATGTGCTTCCATTCTGAAGGCCCAGGAGAGCACCATAGCTCCACCTGGACATCACCTTGATAGAGTGATGGTCAACTTTCCATCCCAGGGACCGACATTTCTGTATGACTGATGCTAAAAAGTGTTTAAAACATATGAAATGAGGATCTATTAAATCTCAACAAGTTTCCAAAGGTGATTTTAGAGGCTTGGATATGTGTCTTATTGTCTTGAACAAAAAGCAAGTTCATTATTTTGTTGTTTGCGTCCATTTTGATAACTAATATGATACATTTTTGATTTGTATGTTTAATTGGCAAGATGTAATTAATATTTCCATAGTGTGTTAGGTAAGGTTTTAAACATGGAACAAGTTGTAATTATAAAAGTTTAATCAAGTTCAGCCGTATCATCACTGAACATGGGACCTTGCATTTTTTTGTATCATGATATTTGCATCCTCTAGTTCTTCCGGTTTGAATATTAGGAATTACATAATTGTTTACATTTCTTCAGTTTTAAATACTTGTTAGTTACTTATATGGCAGGTTAAAGGGACCTTTATACATTTTCTTTATACAAGTTTCTGTACATTGATTTGAACAAAAGAAAATTACGTCTCTTGTGTTTTGAGTTGCATACAGTAACCACTCCTCAAGCCATGGAACCCACAAGCCAATGTAACCGAAATCTTAATGAACATGGGCAGAGAGACAAGAAATTGCAGCCAAATAAAAGAATAATAAAGGCATCTAAACCCTAACAAGTCTGCCTTTGTTCTTCCATTCCACCCACCATAAGTTGGCTGTGTGAAAGCAGGCATTGTTGCAGCTTTGAGGGCAGCTCTGAGAGTTCCATGCCTATCGGCCTTCAATCACATGGGATGTCTGAGTTTGACAGTATAAAGTCTTTTTTGGAGAACAAAATAAGACCCCTAAGCAATTGTGGATGAGCTGTTAGTAACCACACAGTCCACAGGGACTTGGACCAAGCATGGTAGTACAGTATACACAAAGTGTTGGTTAGGGAAGAGACAATGGACCAGTAAAAGCATAACTGCATGATGCAACACACACTAACATTAAAGTTAACAGACGTATATACTGTTGTTTGTTCAAACAAATCAGTTTGACTTGAAAACAAACCAAAGTTCATGAAAGATAATCCATTAATTTTGTGTTTAATGGATCATTTCTTGGAAACACAATTCAATTACTTATCTGTCAAAACAATATTTACATCCCACTGTAGTCAATGATACCCTCCAGCTCCCAAAGAAGTTGCAACAGCTATTTGTGTTTCTATTTCCGTGCAGCATCCTGTGATTTCATGCATTTGTTTGTGTCCATTGCTTGTTTGGTGCGACTGTCAGATGGCATCAGTGAGGAAACCCAGTGGATCTCGCAGAAGCAGTTAGGTGGCTCTCCTCTGTCACTGGGAAGCGGAAGGTAAGTTGTTCACTGGCTTGCAGCATGTTAGGATTAATTCCAGCCCTACAGGAAGAGGACAACATCGCTTTCTGCCTTGGCCAAATCAATAGGCAACATTCTTTCCAGCATAGCAGTCAATACAGCACACTTAAGGTGTCTGAGGAAACTGAGCACCAATAATTGTTATTAATGCCTTTGATACCCCAAAGCATTGCATTCAGAGACTGTCCCATCTAAAGACATTCAGCTGTCATACTGTCCTACAAGAGACTTCCCGGAACTGCTTAAGTGTCTGGAGTTGGATTTTCTGAACAAGAGTGTTATGTTAATAATGGGACAAGTACCATTTAAACAATAATTTCTTCCCATACTACCTAATAATTAAATTGTGCTGACGTTAGGGTAGCGACACAAATGGAGCTACTCTAAGGATATTGGTGTTACTCAGATACAGTAGATAACCAAGACATTTGGTACAGTCATAGTGTAAGGACAATATATCGTGCTGACTTTGGTCCCCTTACATTTTCTCTAGCCCCGACATAGGGTAGACAATTTTTGATTTTACTGAAATGCCACTTTATGGATTACCATGGCACTTATGTTCAAGAGTAAAAAGTACTAAATAACTGTACAAATTGTACATTTTTTGCATTCTCTAAATAAGAAACTAATGAAAAAATCATTTTCGATATCAAATGAAACTTCTTCAAGAAATTAATTTCAGTCTGGTCGCATCTCAAATTAAGCTTCAAACATCCTCTAAATAGATGGTTTACACATCTCTCAAATGCTAACATTTTAGCATATTTATTGTTAGCATTTAGCCAACGTTACACTGTGCTAAAGTTAGCCACATTTACTGGGTCGGTGAGGTTGCTGTAGACTCATTCTTAACATTTCTAAAACATGTTTTCAATGACAGCTGCTAATAAGTATTTACTGAAGATTTTCTCTTTTTAGCTGCTATTAAGACATGGCTCTGTGCTGCACGTGGCGTTGAGTTATTGTCTTAAACTTGTTTGAATTAGTGACATTTCCTTATACCATGAACAAACTGATTTTTTTCACAATAAAAAGACAAATTGAAAAGCTGTATTAAAATTAGTTTTTACAACCTAAATATTGTCATGACATGGTGTACCATAAAGATCAACTCCTTTCACATGTCCTCAGATAAAAATGCAGTATTGGAAGGGACACAACAAAGGCTTTAGTGCACAAATTCATGCTGCCCTGTACCTTGTACACAAAGCCAGTCCATCAGTGCAAGCAATTACCAAGTGAAGGACAGTGAACAACAAGATTATACCGTCTCCTGTTTCCATCAAAAACCACATATGTTCAGATCTGGTGAAGGTAGGGGGACTACAGAAGACGAGGGGGTGTTTGTTGGGAGGGTAAAAGATTCAAAATTCAATCAAGTGAAGGCCATCTCCAGCAGGGTAACAGGGAGGGAGAGAGAGGGGGGGGGGAACTCAGCTGAAGTTTCCACTGGGCCTGCTGCGCTCCTAATGCAGCCTTGGATGTAATTGGGTCCCAGAAGGCTGTTCATTATCAGGGGTGAGCGAGGCAACAAAACAGAATGGGGTTGGAAAGAGAAAGAAAACGTCTCATTCTTTGCTCAGCGGCTCAGTTGAGCCACCATTATGGGACAAGAGTTAATTAAAAGAGCAGTTGATGCCTGTGTTTTTCTCATCAATCTCACTTCTGCTCTTATTAAGTTTGTAATGACAGCAGAGCTTGTCCCTGTCTGCCACCAGACACACAAGGAAGGGGGGAAATTAGAGGAGAATGAAGGGCGGGGCAGATAAAGTGAGGGACAGCTCATCTCGACAAATCTCACAGTGGTCAACAGCTAACATTCAAAGTAATCCCTCCATCAAATCTCAGGATGATGATACGTAGTCCTCAGCCGAGAGCTGACTCTTCTATATTTTGGGTGTGGCAGCAAAGCCCATGCAAGAGGAGTGGCTGTGCACCCTAATCCTGAAGCTCCTATATACCACCTTGGAGGCCATCTTAATTCCCTCCATCATTACAAGGACCTTCCCTGGAAAGCTTTGGTAAAGGTGACTGCTGACACTGTCATTCACAAGGACTATTTCAAAATGTCAGCCCATAGCTGAGATTTGTCTCATTAAAGTTGGTGGAGTCCATTATAGCCATCCCCTCCTCCGCCTGCCACACTCAATCAAGACGCCTTGGAGGATTGAGGAGGCTGAGGGAACGCTCATAATCACGCTTATTTGCATAAGGGTTACAGTGAGACAGGCCATCACTGACCAACAAGAAAAGGATTGTTGTACATGGATCCAGAAAAGAGAAAAAACAGCGAGTTGTTGCTCACTACATTAAAAGAAATCACACGCTTCTTTTCCTCTTTTGCCTCCAAATTGATGCCAGATAGTACGAACGGTTCAGCTAAGAGACATCAAGAAATGTCAGCCTGAACGTGATGAACAGCATCCAGCAGGCTTTTTGTTCAACAGTCTTGTGACCTGAGGATTTACATACAGCTTCAATAAAGCCAAACACACAATCCACCCACATGTAGCCCCGCTCTTCATCTAAAGCGCATCAACATCTTTAAAGCTGGGGGCTTTCAAGCCTGGGGATCACTCATGTATACATGTGACATCTGTGGGTGCGAGTGCCTGAGTGAGGGAGGGACAGACCGGCGCTTTTTGTTTCTCTCTGATCAGATTCACTCGCCCAGGCTTGCTTTAGTGAAGCCGACAATAAAAACAACCATTCTTGGAATTTTAATATGACCATTTTCTCTTCTATAGCTCACAGGACACTGTTGGGTTTGCATTGATCCATGTTTATACACAGTGACTGTGAGATAAAGGACGATGTATTCATGGAAAGAAAGAGTTCATCATATGTGCAACAGTTGTTGTTAGGCCAATTAGGATTATGTGAAGTCCTCTCTAAACACAAGAACTGGTTGTCTTCATTACCTGTTCTTACTTTGTGTCAGTTTTGAAGCTAAATTGATTAATCAATAAAGAGAAATTATGGTTCGTTGTTTCAATCAACAAAAAATGAAATACAATTACCCAGTTTCTGCTTCTAAAACGTGAGGATTTGGTGCTTTTTCTTTATCTCATGAAAGCAAAGTGAATATTATTTTTTTTTCTTTTAACAAAGAGCTGGAGAAAATGGTCCGTTCAGATGAATCAACATCTTTTTGATGATTGAGGTTATGTAAGGCATCGTTTAAGCAGAAATGTTGTACAGTATGTTGTTTCTAGCTTACTTGGTTATGAGCATCATTGGAACTAATCCAACTGGATATCTTTCATTTTGAGCTGATAGTCAAACCAACAAAGCAAATCTAGTTTGTTAGCTTGTAAATGGTAGCATTAGCATTTTTCGCTTTCAACAAAAACCATCAATCAACACGGAGAATGGTTAACTGTAGCACTGATTTAAAAACATCTCCTTTCGCTCTAAGAATGTATAAAAGACATTATTGAGGATTCACCCCTGAAGTGATATCCCCTTTTCAGTACACGGTTTAATATCTAGTTGCAGAAAACAACTAGATATAGATAGCCTTAACTAGCTAACTTTAACTGACTTGCATCACTTTCACTTATTGAGCTATCTTTCTAGCCAATGCAAAACGAACTGTAAAAGTGCGTCTGACAGACATAATGCTGTTATGCCCTGCAGTGCACAAAAAGACACATCCGTTTAAAAAATAGCTAACATTTATTTGTTCATTTACAAAAGCTGTTGAGAGACAAAATACATAAGCAGTCCTCCTGCTGCGTTAGATCCATGTTAAAAAAAGACATAACAGAACTGTTGACACTATCCAAACATGGCCTTCAATAAACTGTTGCAGATAGACCAGTCTACCTGAAGCGGCTTGATATTCTCGTCAGCTGAGAGGGCAGAGGAGGGCGCACATCTACAAACAAATTTACCCGTTTAAAAAGACACATGTGCAAACATTTGTTTGGAGAAAACAATTCAGGGATGGCTGCTTTGTGCTTTGCAAAAATAAATTAGCTTATATCTTTAATCCCTCATTGATGTTTTGTGTGAAGCAAATCAGTTGTGGAACAAGGATGGTAGGGGGGAAAAAAAAGGTCAATTCCTCAAGATGCATGAGTGTGTATTTGTGTGTATCAGACAACCCTAGAGGCTGCAGACACTCATGCCACAAGTACAGTTAGAGTAGTGCTACAGTCTGTAGAGGAGCATTTCAGGGTGGCACACACTGTCTAAGCCACAACTGAACAAGGAGACAAATACAAGGGCACAAAGACAAAAAAACATTGAAATCAGATAGTATTCTTATTCTCAGAATGGAGAAAATGCAACAGAACTTACAGTGATTTTTTTCTAGATCTGATAAAATAATTCAAGAAACACTTTGTCAAAAATGACAACCTATAAATAGAGTATATAAAAGACAAAGTCGTCCTGTCTTCGTTTCATTTTTAAAAAGGAAACAGCTATTTGTTGATTAAAGTAAAGGGAGGCATTTTGAAGAAGCTGGCTCCTATTTGAGTCTTGTGCCTTATACAAGTTCTCACTCTAGTGGTCCACACATAAACTGCAGGTAGTTGTTGTCCATGCTGGGAAAGAAGAAAGAAGGTGGAAGTGACATTGTGTGTTTGCTTGTGTCTGTGTAGTCCCAAGTCTGGAAGAAAATCAGCTTGAAGGAGTCGGTGTGCTGCTTTGCTGGACGGCTGCTCTTCTACAGTCCAAAGCGGGCGGAGGGGTGTCTGGGGGTCATGGGGGCATCTTCTTTCCTCCCTGGTGTGCAGATTTTCACAGCCCTGAATCAGACAAAAACAAGACAAATGTTTATTAACTGTGCAGATACAACCAAGCTTCATTAATCCCCTCACTCAGTTTAGTATTATGTTCAACCTCTCGTACACGAGGCTGAAGAAGAATGTGAACATGAAACAAGCAGGACCAGCAGAGGGCCAAACAGGCAGGCTGGTGTTTCTGGGATGAGAGTCGGGAAGTAGAGCCTGACGCCGTTGACAGCAAATCTATCATCTTTAATTACAGCAGTGTGACACCCTGACACTGCTCACACTTCCCTCATCTCTCTCTCTCTCTTCCTTACACACACCTGCAGCAATTACAACCATCAGGCCATAACCTTCTTCTGTCACTGTGTCCTCTTCTCTCTGTCTGTGTGCTCACTTCAGGAGAAATTGTGGTTCTACGTTCAAAACACAGGCTGTTTGGTGTTTCACAACAGATTTGAACAAAATCTTTCTTCTACAAAGGTCAATTTTCTATAAATGTGTATTTTACACAGCAAAACATATCCAGCACAGTACACAATGCTTAATGATAGAAAGTAGACTCATTTCAAGCATCCAAAGGTTTGCATTCATTTCTAAACAATCGGATCATTTCAAACTCTCAGAACTAGACTGAGTTGTGCAAACAATCAATAAATCAGGGACATTGTTACTTTAAGATTTAGACTTCTCTAAATGAATCTGCAGCTAAACTGCAAAACCACACAACAGTTCAGTGACTCAAACAAAATAAGAACAAGACCTATGTGACCGACACTGTGATGCGTAACGACTCAAGCAGGTTCCAGGAGTCAACAAATTGATTTTCAATCCATATAGAAAAGAACAGAGACCATCATGATCTGGAGCTATAATAAAATAAAAGAACCCAAGAAACTGATCATGTAAACTGCAGCCAAACGTAACAATAGTCTATATGTTTAGCACACATATAATATATTATAGTCTAATTTGACCTATTAATTATGCCGTTCGGACACAGGAGTCTTTTTATATACCATATTTTAAAGGAGTGTTACCAAACGTTTTAAAGTCAAACTTCTTAAAAGAAGCAGCTAGGTGTATGAGTTCTGTCTAAATAAATTACAATTGGACAAAAAGTGAAATTCAACCAAAGACTGTTTAATATGCAGAAAAAGTAAATCCAATCCAATAAGGAATTCAATAATAGCTCGCAATAAAGACACTTTGAGGCCTATGCAGATATTCTGTCATTCACTTGAATTATCCACCATGGTTTAGACAGTTTTGGAAGGAAATAGTGAACAGATAATACCAATTTAACTTTTCTTGGCACCAAGGTGATGTCTAGAAAAGGTTTTGTGTTTTGCAAACATCTGTCCAAAGAGCTAATGATTAAATGAACAGTAAAGTATGAGAGGGAGAGGAAGTAAATATTCACACTAGGTAAGATAGAAGCAGAGCAGGTTTGGCACTTATCATCTATTTAACATATTTCAATAATGTTCCCTACTCACATATTTGATTCAGTATGACATCGTGGGGTTTAGCCAACCAGCATACAGAGTCAACATGACTGTACTTTGATAGCTTATACTCTTGGCTTTCATATTTAATGCTTCACATGGAAGTACACAGGTCTCCACTGCTAGTGCTTACAACTGATGTGGCTCCAAGAACGATCGCCTACTTTCCCACAGTTAGAAACAAAACAACTGACATCACCATTTACCAATTCACACCACTGATATGTGCTGGTGAGCAGGGAGTCAGGTGATAAGCAGCCAGCCTGACGAAATCTTCCATCCCGGTCACAGTGAGCTCATGGAGGAGACACTCGTGAGGCCTGCCGGAGGACAAAGGCAGGCTGGAGGGAGCCCAGGAGAGCCAGCGCCTTTCATTATCACACATCCTGCTTCCTCTGCTTAAATCTAATTCTTAATCCTATACCTCGAGTGTGATTATTTTCAACAGATCTGTTACAGACGTGGTCACACAAACTCAAAGAGATAAACCAGCCGATTAATTAACAATAAAAGTGCTTTTTTTTCTTTTAAGTCTGTCTCTATAACCTTATTTCTCTCTACAAAGCTGGCGGATGGGTGTGAAATTAATTTTTTGGTCTAATTTGAAATTGAACGTTCCCCTCCTTTCTCTGCTCTGCTATGGCACAATTTAAATTGCTGCAGTAATGGGGGTCAGCCAGGAGTCAATATTATTTCTTTTTGTCTCGTCTGCGGGGACCAGAGGTGAGAAAAGCTCATCATGAAGAGTGAGAGAGGGTGAGCAGAGAGTGTGTGAGTGTGGTGGGGGGAGATATGGATTGGCAGTGAGGTAGGTAAATTAAACGTTTCTATCTTGACTGTGTATGGAAAATGAGGGCCATGGGGGAACTATTGTTAGAGGAGGCTCGTGTGTGTGTGATGAGGAGGCACAAAGAGGAGAGTTAGTCTGTGACTTACTTAACGCTGCAGGTGTTGTTCTTCTTCTCCTGTTCGTCTCGACGCGATCGCAGCTGCTCCTCAGCCATGGACATCTCCTCCTCCATGTTGGTGATCTCCTCCTTGGCCCTGCGACGGTTCTCCTAGAGGAGCGACACAGAGAGATAAGGAAAGGACTACAGTGAAGGACGCGCTTAAGTCGGTATAGAGGTTGTGTGTTTAAAACCACACACACTAGAAAATATGATGAAAAGTATGTCAAGTCCTGCGGTTGCCTGGTCTTACCTGTCTGCTTCTTCCTGCATGTTTGATGCTGTAAAACATTGGGCCGAGCTCTGCCAGCCACTCTCCATCCACCGCCGTCACACACTGCATGTACTCCTACAGCACAAAGCAAAACTTCAACATCCACAAAACATTATTTCATTATTTCATGTCATGCTCCCAAAAGTTCTTCAGCTCACAGACCTTGGTCGTCATGACGAGCTCGTGGTAGATGATGTAGTCCGGGGTGTAGCCCATTCCAAACAGGGAGCTGGTAGGATGGAGGTGACATGGCATGCCTGTCCTCACGTTCACATATTCACCGATGCCCTGGGAGTAAACACAGACATAAATAACCCGTTTAACGTACGACTCTGGATTTCTTGACAAGAAAATAGGACCCTATGCGAGGTTTAACTGTGTCTTTCTGTCTCTGTGTGTGCTTGTGCATTTTGAGGTCAGAGCAAAGCAGGTCCTCTGGGTTAATTTGCTTCTCCACCTAGCCAAGACAGGCAGGAAAATAAATTTGAAGTATATCCAACGCGGCTACGATTGCTTAGGTTAGCCGGCTACTCATAAGTCAAACGGAGAGCCCTGATTATATAGTCATGATTTCAAATTCCCTTTCAGATTTTAGCGCTGTATTAATGTGAGGCCAGGAGGGATATTTCACCGCTCTGTAATTATGCTGCTATAAATCTGCCACAACCAGTTGCCACTAGGCATAGCATATTAACTGAGGGAAACCCAGAGTGCACAAAGTACCTTGAGCTTGGCAGCCTGGTGGAAGTAAGCAGCACAGATGCACTTTCTGATGATGTCCCAGTCCGACCCGCAGGAAATCAGGTTCATCCTCTGCTGCACCATGATGTCCTTTAGCTGGGAACGCACCTCCCGCACCTGCACGAACACAGGAGGTGTTATTAGTGGAACCACAAACAAGTCATCCAACCTGCTAGAAACCGCCTGTTTTATGGGAAAATGTATCACTGCTTTCAGGCGTTCTTAAAAATGTATCATAAGAAAATAGTAGAAGCTGCCATATTTGCAGACAACATTCAAAACAGTACCATGAATAAGGTCTTACAGGACCTGAATTTAATTCTACACATATTCAGGTTTCGGAGGGTCAGAGTGTGTTCACAGAGAGAACAGCTGTAGCAGAGGAATTCTGACCTTGCGCATGGCCTTCGTGTGGATAAAGTGCTCGTTGCACCACACGCTGGAGTAGTTGTTGTTCTTCCACTGCATGTAGACGTTGAGGTAGGTGAGGTGGTCACTCTCTGGGACCGAGAACTTCTCCCTCACCTGGTCGCTCTCTTCCTCACGACCCTGCACAGACACACAGAGTGAGATTTCTATATATCAGTGGAATTTTTTTTTAACATCTTGTGGTTATTTTTCTCCCATTGGGGGATATATTTATACACAAACAAAACAATTAAACATTAAAACAGTGTGAATAATCAATTAGAGGATTTAACAATAAGATCACACAGTGTATAACAGGCCTACATACAGAGGCCTTGTCAGCTGATCAGTCAAAACACCAACAGAGCAACATTAGCATCCGTTTGGAATTATGTTTCTGGTTAGCTGTCGTGCAAATATATGTTTTTGCCTCATCTAATGCCTGCTAGAAATATCTTACTTGTAAGCTGCTAAGTGCTCCAATATGATCACCAGCTGCCAAACACTGTGCCTGTCTGTTTTTGGTGATGGACATATGGTGTAAAGTCAGCTTGTAGAGCTTCCTCCTTTCTATTTTCGACACTTAACTCAGTAAACTTCATAATAAACATGTGTACCTTAGGTCTGTAGAAGATGGCCGGCACAGACAGCATGGAGACAATAATAAGGATGTCAGCACTGCAGCCCATATCGCAGGACACAATCAGCATCTTGGAGAGGGCTGGGTCAAGGGGAAATTCCACCATCAGGCGTCCTGTTGGTGTCAAAGCACCTGAGAGAAAAAAAAAAAAAACAACAACCAGGTCACACATGAAGTAAATCAAAGTGCATGAAACGTGGAGAATCTAGGAGGAAGAAGCGCAAGATAAGCTTCTTTTCCATCGAAAGCCAGCGGGTGTGATGGAGAAGCGGGCATAAAGTGACACTTATTTGTCTAACAACATGAGAAAGGAGGATGAACTGCTGACAGCTGAGAATACTTGTAGAGAAAGAAAAAAAAGAGAGAGAGTGAGATCAAAAACTTTGCCGGTTCTGATTTAAATGATTAGACGACAGAGTCTAAGAAGCTTATGAGGAGGAAAAGCAGAGAAGCAGAGCAGCCAGTTTTGGGGCAGGTAAGCCCTAATCAGAGATAATCTGCTGTTAACACACCATACAGGGAATCATCAAAAGTCCCCCCCTTATCCCCAAATCCTTAAATCCCCAAGAATCTGGCTAAGGATGAGACAGAAATGAGACTCAGCCAGTCAAATCACACACAGGATCGGTTACTAGGCAATTACTTCACCACCTAAACCAGCGTCCTCCAGGCCTGTTTGTAGTGTCTGCATCATCACCAAAGCATCCTCTAAACAGCTGGTCTCCTGCCTGTGTTTGTGTTGTCAGCATCGTGGTGTGTGTAAGCGCTCAAAGCGGCACTGAGGGAGAAATACAGCCCTTAAATAGCCAATATTCTCCGTCACTGCTTCACCTTCATCTCAAAAAGAGGATGATTTATGTTGTTTAGCTCTACTAAACAAAAGAGCGGTTGAAGACTTTCGAGGCTACGAGGAGAACAGGGATGAAAACTGGCATAACAAAGCATCAGGATACTATGCATGGCTTTATTTATACAAGATGGAGCGATCCATCGACAAATGGCCGCAATTTAGATTATCTACTTCTTTTTCATCTTGTTACCTGTTATGGAATTGAATCAAAATTTGCTGATATTTTAAAATATGTTACCTGAAAATAAATACTACTAGATGACTTGATAATGAAAATAATCAAGAGTTGCCACTCTGGTTCATAAAGTAAGCCTTGTAAAATTAATATCATCGATTCTATAAAAAAAAAAATAAAAAAAGCAGACGAAAGAGCAGATATGTTTTAGATTTATATGATTGTTCTTGTCTTTTGGGACTTATTTGATGAAATACAGTATATTACTTTATTACTTACATATAGGAAGTCTCTCTAAAAAGAAATGCCTTGTGATCGCAGGTATGTTATACTTTGGTGCCTGTGGTTCACTCCTCACCTGTGTTGTCTAAAGCTCCCAGGATCCAGAGCTGGTACATGGAGTTGAGCATGTTGTCCTCAGGTGGAGGGTCCATGAAGTGGAACATGAGCAGATCCTGAACCCCAAGAGACTTCAGCAGCAGGACCACGTTAGCCAGGTTGGTCCTCTGGATCTCTGGTATGGTCGTAGTCAGCATCTCATTCTTATAGGCGCTCTGAGTGTAGAGTCTGGAGAGGAGGAGGGCAGACAGACACATGTCAAGTGTGTCATTTAAGTGATGATCAAATCAAACTAAAATCACATGTTTTTAAACAAAGACTGAAAATACACAGACGTTTGTACATGTTCTGTTATCTTTTTTGTGGTATGTGAACTAAAAGAGACAACAGAGTGAGAAAGAAATGCAAGCTCTGTCTCTCAGAAGACTAGAAAGAATTGTAAGAACCTCAACATTGTGTTAACTATTCACATATTCCAGCTCAATAGAGATAACACAATGGTTATTACCTGTAACACTGCCCTGGTCCTGTACGTCCTGCTCGACCAGATCGCTGGTTGGCATTAGCTTGGCTAATGGGATAAACCTGTAGAGCGTCCATACCAATGCGCGGATTGAAAACCTGTTAGAGAAATTACAAATGGTTTCAGATTAGTTTAAACGTGTTTACGGTAAAATATTTTTCAAGAGTGATGTTGTACATACATGTGACATAGTGTACCTTAAGTTTGCAGTATCCTGCGTCCACAACAAACATGATTCCATCCACAGTCAGAGAGGTCTCAGCGATGTTTGTAGCAACAATGCATTTCCTCACACCGTCTGGAGCCTGGCAAAGGAGACATTCAAGACAGGCAACTTTGTTTTAATTACAAGTAATTATTGACTTAACATGTAGAAAAGCATACATCGTTACGGGCAGTAACAGACGCAAACCTTTTGAAAGATCTTGGCTTGGAGATCAGATGGCAGCTGTGAGTAGATGGGCAGCACTGCCAGAGCAGGAGCGTTCTCTAAGTCCTCCAACCGCTCTATAATCTGATCAGAGGTCACCTGCAAGACAAGAATATATTTTACCTCATATAAGACACAATATGGGGAAAAAAACCAGTGACAGCAGGGTGCTGATTGACAGATAAACTCCTGTCCTGATGGTTTATTAGTATGGTATATACGTTTTACCCTGAAAGGCCAACGATTGAGAAAGTATGACACCAAAACTTTTGAAACATGCCTTTATTAAATTATTTTAGATTTACTGCTTTGACCTATTCATACAGCAGCTTCAATCTAGATCACAGCCTTTGAATATGCAATAACTGAAAGATAACCCTGCCACGTGTCCCTCACCTCAATGTCCTCCTGCCCGGGCATGAATATGAGAATATCTCCCATCAAGCCACTGAGGTGGATCTGCAGGGCCTGCTTCACTGCTGCCTCCACATAGTCCTCCTGAGGAGTCTACATAACACAGAGCACAACATTCAAACCCTGAAACACCCTTCAACAAACAATCACCATTCTCATAATAATGACACATTAGAAAATGTATATTAAAGTCACGTGTAAGGGTTTTGAGTATATTTCGGAGTTATACATTTTTTTTTAAACTGAAAGCTGTAAAATTTGAGAGAAAAAAAGACTAAATTATGTTGATTATTTTACAGAACTCACGCCTTTTCTTACAGTTTGATAAAGTTGATTTTTAAGGGTTAAAGATTGAATTACAAATAAAGACGAGCGAGCTTGTTTGGAGAACATTAATGTGCCAAAATGATCTAAGAGCAGATCAATGGTGATTTGAGGATGTAGTGTGATTCCTTATCAGTGAAAGGAGAAAAGAAACAGAAGCATACCTTGCTAAACAAGATGTCTACGGGAAACGTTCTCCCCGGGATGTGGAATATGGGTACGTTGCCAAAGAATGCAGCAAACTTGTCTGAGTCCATAGTTGCAGACGTAACTATGAGTTTTAAATCAGTGCGTCGAGCCACAACCTGATGGAAAACAGCAAACAGGGGAGATATAACAGAATGTAATCAATGGGTTATTACACTGAAATCTTACAAGGAAACAACAAACCAACACGGCAATCCATCATTTAGACACACAGGAAATGTAGCTGTTTGTATGTCTTGAAAATAACAAAAATACTTTTATCTGTAAAGGGTGTTGTCATGTACTGACCTCACGTAGCAGGCCAAACAACACATCTGTATTCAGTGAGCGTTCGTGAGCCTCGTCCATGATAACAGCACTGTAGTGGTCCAGGTCTGACTCCCTCAGAGACTCCCTGAGCAGGATACCGTCCGTCATGTACTTAATTAATGTTTTCTCAGACGTGCAGTCTTCAAAACGAATCGCATAACCCACCTGCAGAAAAAAAGCAGAAAATTCAACTCAAGATAACATGAAACACATACTTTATAAGTTTACATTAAATGTATTGACCTGACCTTATACAAAATAAAAAATACAACCTAAACTCAGTGTTGTTCGCAGTAAGAGAGCAGTGTTTGACAGCTGTGCCTGTTACTTGAGCTATTTAACCAGTGGTACAGCTGTTGTTTCTCCTCAGTTCAGACTGCCACACTATGATGCAACACAGTTTTAATATTTTTAACAAAGGTATTAAATCATGGCTGAAGGAGAAACTAAATTGCTCCCACACGTGCCTTCTTTTGTAACTGTATTTTATCCCCGTTGCATTCATAACTGTACAGTATTTATAACTGAACTGTTTTTATTTTCTGTCTTTATTTCTCTGTTATTTCTAAAAGCCTCCTGTAGACAGGTGTTGCAAATTAGCATTTTGTTAAAAAGAGCAATTCATCTGAGACTTGTGCATGGTTTAATGTTACAGTACCAATGTCACCGTATGTCCATTTCAAATAAACAAATAAATAAATAAAGGCAAAAAAACAACTACATTTTTCCATTTGTCCACTAGATGGCGGTGTGATTCAGCATGTCAATCACTAATGGCTTTGAGAAAGAGAGCGTCTCAGACTGCGCATTACATGGTTCAGTAATTATGAGACTAAGTCATTCTATACACCTTACAACAGAATAGAAGTCCCCACAGTTTTACTGCATTAGTTCATTTAAATCTTTGATACTCTTAAAAAATATAAACTCTTACAAAATACTTTAGCTGCTCTCTTGTTCAATTTAAAAATACCATTCCTAAATAAGCTGTAAAAACATTTACTTAATTAAGATTTAAAGCTTAATCTGACTATTTCCCATGGGATACTATTTTAGTAGTAAAATTGTCTCGGCTGAAGCAAACGGCTGCATCAAAATCCAATCTGCAGAAACACAAATGTGATCAGAACACATCCAAACACTAGCCTGACTTAAAATAACTATGAAAATAAGTCACTGTTTTAAACTACAAATATTCTAACGCATACATCTCAAAGCATGGAAATCATTGGTAAGTAGTTCTAGTTCATATTCAGCATAATTGCTCTTTACCATTTTGTAAATCTTTCCGAAAATATTAGATAGCTATATATTGGTGAATGTGGTGATGTTTGCTCGAGTTGTCCACTGTCTCACCTCCTCTCCCAAGTTAGTGCCGATCTCTTCACTGACTCTCTTGGCCACGCTCATGGCTGCTACTCTTCGGGGCTGGGTACAACCCACCATGCCATAGCTCGTGTAGCCGTCCTCGTGCAGGTACTGAGTCAGCTGGGTGGTCTTCCCACTGCCCGTCTCTCCAACAACAATCACGATGCTATTGTCCCTATAGACGGCAGAAATCACATTGAAACAGTCAAAAGCTATAGGTTAATCAAAAAAGATCTCATCAGTGTTGAGGAGTGATGTCAAGTGGAAATAAGTGAAGAATATTACCTTATGATGTTTAGAAGTTGTTGTCTGACAGCAAAAATAGGAAGGTACTGTCTCTGCTCCAAAAGAGTCTTCTTCTTAGCAAATTCACTGCTAGCCTCAGACTTATCTTTCATGTGGTCTGCAAATTTCTGCTCCGCTCTAAGAGAGAAAACCACCAAAAATGTATGTTGAACATCAGACAGACTGACATAACACTTCTTGGAGTTGAGCCAGTGAATTATTAAAAAGAACATTTGAAATCTTATCAAACTTCAGGCTTTTTCAAAAGACAGTCTGGTACCTGTAGTCAACTTTGCCGTCCTCGCCGACTGGTTGGCCCCCAGAGGTGTCTGCTTCCTCTGTCTTCTTGATCCCCATGATGTCCCCTAACTTAGTTCCTGCCAGCTCCCAGTGCTTGTGCTGCGCCTGAAATCATAATTATTCCAGTTAAATCACTTGGTTATGAAGACAAAGTCTGCAACGGGATTCAAGCTTTCCATCTGATGGGCATTCAAAACAGCTAAGAGATGACACAGGCTCTGGGGTTACATTTGTCTTGTTATTTTAAGTCACTGATGGTGGTTTGCAGTTTAAATGCCATTAACTTGCCAAGGTAGGCTGATCAGGAATACATGAATTACTGTAATGATGAAGCTTGACAACATTGAGTTCATCAACCTGACGTGAATGTGACCATGAAACCCTAAGAACTGTCTTATCAGTATTAAAGGAGCAATATGTAATATCTACTGAATTAAAGCATAACGACCTGACTATATCATCAGACATTAAAGAAACATGCTATGTTACAAGTGCTGGCTTCTCTGACAACGCAGCAGTTTCTATTCTGGCCCGGAACGGTTTGTTTTTGTTTTGACCAGAGAAGTAGACAGTTTTGAGTCCGCCCCACACGGCCATTTTGGACGGCCCTCGGTTTTTGCCAGATATGAGACCAGTAATCACAATAAACCAACAGGTGTTGAAAGCAGTCAAGCAAACTGGTTCAGATATAAGTAATTCTACCAGACCTAAAAAAGTGTGGTAAAACCAGGATTAATATTGGAGAATGCTTTTGAAAAATGGAGCGAGGTTAGAGCGTAGAAAGGTTTCCAGATCGATGCAGAGCTGGCTCAACACTGAAGCTTAAAGCGATGCTTCACCCATTTGCATTAAGCTTTGTATCATTAGAAACCTGGTAGTATTTTTTGAATGGTCTATATTCATTTTGGGTTCTATAAATGGATAAATATCAACAAAAGTATCTGTTATATGTGTCTACATCCTCTTCACACTTTTTTTCATACTAATAAAATGTTCTGGCTTTCACCACAGCCAGGAGACAACCTTTCATCACACATCCCTAACGATGGTCTACTTTCTAGTTCCTATGTTATAAGCTTGGCAATGATTTTTACTTCTTGCAGAAGTCAGAATGCTTTAAAGGGCCCTATAATTTTAAATGTATGGATATTCCAGATTCGATCACTTGGATTCCTTTTTAAAAGGTTAATACATCCATTTCCCCTCCAACAACCTTCCTTACAGATGTTTTTACAATAGAAATGTTATAATAACTGTCATATCCCTGATCAGGATCAAAAAAGCCCGGGCAGACCCATTCACCAGGACTCTGCATTTGTCTGAATAGCACGTGCAGATCAGTCAAAATCAAGCTCACCTTCTTGCGTTCTTTCTGCTCGCGATGTTTTCGAACAAGCTGACTGCCTTTACGAGAGATGATGGCCATGTCAGAGGTAGCATCTTTCACAGGGATGACAGGCTCTGGCTGCAGCAGGGGAAAAAACATCATAAACAAGCAGTTAGACCAAAACCAAACTTGTAACATATGTACATATGTACATATTGAAGTTATGTTTACAGCTATAAATCCCCCTGAACCGAGAGCCTGGTGGTTACAGGCCTCTGATTATGAACTGTTTAGATCACCTGCTTAGTGAAGACTATTCTTCCGTCCAGGAAGGGGGGAACCAGGTTGTGAACCAGCAGGTGAACCTTGGCAGCATTGTCCTCCTCAAAGTCTTCATCCACCTCCAACCTCTGCACTACACCACTGGTCAGCATGCGGTTGGTCTCCCACCGCTCATTATCCTGAGTCAAGAAACACAGCCTGTTAGCAAGACCCACAAGCAGACAGATGCACTAACAAGACATACATATATATATATATATAAACACACATAGTACTGTGATGTACCTCGTTGATCTGTCGTTTCTGGGCAGAGATTCTTTTCTGAGTCTGCTTCTGGAGGATCTGCTCTCTCTTCTTCACATATTCTTCAGAGGTGGTAGTGAAAGGGTTGTGGAACTCGTCATAGCCTTCGTCCATCATGTACCAATCTCTGTCAGCTTGCTGCAAAATAGTGACACAACAGGAGATGTAGAAAAAAATCTTCACACCAGAGAAAGTTGAACGCTTCTGTAAGACATAAATGAATGATAGCTGTGACTCACCTTCTGATCCTCCTGCCACTGGTCTTTCTCGCTCTCATTATCAAACATGATTCCTCCCTCGCCATCTTCTTTCCTACCTGAAGAAGAGACAGAATTAGAATAATGTTATGGGACAAGCAGTACTTAAATCTTGCGCATACGCAAAACTTGCTGGTTTTTGGAGGAGTACCTTTTCCTTGCGATAGACGAGGTGTAGAACCCAAATGTTTTCTGTCATTGGCCCACTCGTTGTACTTGTATGACGGGGTGGGCAGCGGTGTGTCATCAGGGTAACGACCTCTGACTGACCTAAGCACACAACAGAGAGACAGTGTTATATAATATAAGCAAAAGAACCTCAGAAACAAAGCTTTTCATGTCAATGTGTATAGCCTAACTTCACTGTACAAAGGTGTGTTCTGATATACAGTGTGCAGATTAAATGTGAATAATTGCATCATGGAGCTTGATAATGTTTCAATGTTAAAACAATAACTGCTGCAACAAAAAAGGTTGTCATTCCATTGGTTGTTAATCTAATTTTTAATATTATTAAGCAACAATGATGCTAATTAAAATGTTACTTGTTACATTTTTTATGGCTATTGAGGAATATACCCGCTTTGTTGTTTATAGCATTGAGTGCACGGAGCCGTCATCTTATCTTTGTTAGGAGATTTCTACTTTTGAGTTCAGTGGCATTTAGTACGCACTCACACGAGGCAAAGTTGTGCCGTACCGTGCTTAAGCACAATTGTCCCCCCCCTCCCCTTAGTGTGAGTGCGCCCTTAAACTTTAAACAAATCAAAAACAATGGTTGTTTACCTGTCCCGTCTCTCACTCTCTTGTCCGGAGCGATGGCTTCGTTCAGAGCGATCTGACTCTCTGTGAGAGAGGACTGGAGACGGAGACTCCCAGTGGGAGTGCCTTGAACTGGAATAGCCGCTGTCATCTCCTCCCAGTTCGAGTGCGAGGGTGTGAAAGCATCTATATAAACGACATAAATAAGTCCAGTCAACAAACCAAGTGAACACTCCTAGAAACATGGAAATCTACGCATTGAAATTAAAGCAATTTAATAAAACTAAAGTACCTCTGGGGCGATGCTGTGGTGACTGAGGTTCATCTCTCTTCGTCCCCCGACTGATACGATCGGACCAGCCCTCTCTCTGTGAACGATCGCTTCTCTCCCCTCGCTCCGACCGACTGCTGCTACTGCCACGGCTACGGCTGCCCTCGCGCTCATCTGGCACACAGAGACAAGAAAAGTTATTCTCAACAACGTCAACTGAGAAAGAATTTGCTCTCATTATCCATTAATCAATTACTACAACATGACTTTAAGTTACTTCAGTGATTTTTACCTTTTTCACTTTTTCGGTCTCTTCCTTTATCTCTGCTCCTTTCTCTGTCTCTGTCTCTGTTCTTGTCCTCTTTGGACGAGGCGTACACTCCATGTTCTCGTCTGTCTTTCTCTCTCTGCTGGTGTCTGCGTCGGAACTCTTCACTTACACCTCCGGGGTTTGAGGGTGTCTCTGAGCCGGTCACACGATACTTCCTGCTGGGAAGACTGGAATGAAATATTAAACATTGGTCATACTGTTTGTATACCATTACAGTCAGTAAATGATCAATGAGTAAAAAGCCAATAAAATGCTTGGAGGCAACAAAATTCAAAGAAAGGTGTGGTTATGTTTCAAGATAATTTGCTTTTTTTTTTTTTCTATAATTCAAAGTTAATCTCAATATCTTGCCACAGTGAAGAGAAAACTATCCACAAACATGACCAAACGGTGTCACCTGCCTTTCAGTGAACAAAAACTATCTTAAATGATACATTATTTATACTCCTTACCTCTCCTTCTTAGTATTTTGTTTTTTCTCATCATCATCTTCTTCATCTTCTTCATCAGACCCAGAGTCACTTTTTGCTTCCTCCCAGTCCTTAAAGGACGAAACTTTGGACCTCTTTGTATTTCTGTCATCCCCACTACCGTCAGACTGTTCCTTACTCTCACGCTCCTTCCTTTTCTGAGCAGCCAGCAGATCCAAGCCGAGCAAGGAGGTGCGTGGAGTAGGTGCTCGGAAAACATGGGGCTCTGCAGCAGCGCTCTTCTTCTTAACTATCAGTCCACCAACTTGTGCCGTTGGATCCATCCCTTCCAGCCTATGCATGGACACATCATCATCATCCATAATCTGTGGGGGCAAATGACATTGCAAAAAGTAAATATGGGTAAAATACAAAATATTTACTATTTTTCTAACTAATAGTTGAGCACTGCTAAGGCTGTATGTTGCAATAATTTCATTAACTACTAAATCATTCAATTTCAATTACAAGAGGTCAAAAAAGTGATTAATCAGCCAGGACTCCTAAGAAATATTTGTCAGTTTTTTCTTTTTTTTTTACTTTTGATAGTAAAACAGACAAAAAGTTCAAAACACTTTAACAAAGAAGACAAGATTAAGACTCATAGTTGGACCTGCTGAGAGAAAAGTGTTGCCTATAAATTCCTTTGTAATTAACTATTATATCAGCAATCATCAACCATGATATGACTGTAAATATCAGAAAATCTGAAGAAGCTTGAACAATAATATGGACGCAAGTATTTTTTTTATGGCAGTCTACAAATCCATTTATTTCTACACTGAACAAAGATTGATACTTGCTTGACAGAGCACGGTTGCAAGACAGATGTTTTTATTCATCATGAATAACGATAATAATGTTGTTATTCAGATTTAAAAAAAAAAAAAAGACGCCTTAAAAATATTCACGTCAGGAACAACCTAACAAGGCAGACAGTAACTTCATAACATTTGCACTTTCTGTATCTTCTCCAGCCGCATGAGTTACAAACATCTCGTATGTAAGGTATCCAAGGTCACAAACGAGGCTCGACTCATAGGTGAAGACAAAGTCCTTGTTTAATATCGCTCAGGTGAAATGAATGAAATTGATGCGTACCTTGGATATGGCTGCTGGCCTTGTTTAGTCTGCTTCAGGTTCTGCCCTGACAACAAGGCCTGGCGACAAGATGCGAAAAACGTCCACGTGTTTATTATGGTCGAAAAAGAAGAAACTCGATTATATAGGTTGATGTTTCAGGTCTACGGCCTGAAAATGGGCGTTCAGCTGCTGTTACCGGAAAACAATAACACTACGGCTTTCGTAGACACAACGCGTATGTTACAAACGAGGGAGCAGCCATTGCAATCCAGCAATTCACACAGGGGCAGCGGAAAAGGATTATTCAAAACTTTATTCAAACGGAATTCGTGGACAAAGGGACAGCGGTGAGAAAAACATACTGTCATACTGCTGTGCCTCCAGCAGATGGTGACAGCGGGCCGTGTGTTCATGCAGTGTGTGCCTGAGCTAATGACAGCCGTGTGTTGGAGAATGGTACAAGCTTTGTGGATGTCTGAGCGGGTCCAGGTATGGCTGCAGCCTGGAGACCTCTCCTCTCATGGCATCTCGCTTCATGCATTTTTCTCTTTCCATGCTGCTGCAGCCTGGAGACCTCTCGTATCTATTTTATTCCTATCTATCTATCTATTTATCTAAATATATTATATTGTGGAAACGTGACAACCCAAGCATGAACAGAGAACTACATCTCGTATGATTAAAAGTCTGTTTTCATCATGCTACATTCATTTGACACAGTTTCCTTTTAAATATTGCTGTTTAATCACACTATTAATTTAATAATATTTTTCTTAGATCCCCTCGTAAATCAGAGACTGCTGCCACCTACCTTTCCCCGCTATGCAAAGATCATTAAGAGGGAGGACATGGTGGCCTACTTTGGGAAACTTATAGAACGTATCAAGACTGTCTGTGACGTGATCAACACCACCAACCTGCACAGCATTCTGGTAAACTCATGTTTTAAGACCTGTGGGTTAAACTCTGAACCAGCAACCCTCAATGAGCAACTTTTTCTGAACAAGCAGAAAAATAGGAAGCCAATGCTGAAGTGTAAACAACTATCTACATAACTCTCTCAGGAAAAAAATGAAGAGGACGAGGTGGGCGATGGAGAAGACTCGGCGGACTCACATTCAGTCAATGAAAATGGTTTGCCTGACTTAAATACCCTGTCGTCAGGGCTACAGAAGCATGTGGCACTTTTCATCTTATATCTACAAGAGAAAGTTGGAAACAATTATTGAAAATCTTGTTAGTTACGTTTGGGTTCAGACATTATCATTTCAATTTAATTTAGTTTATTTTACAGGTACACTTTAATTTGACATATTTATAAGTAGGCCTATACCTTTTGTTTTATCAAAGTTTAACTATATGTATTATCATGCTTAGTTTTAGTCTAACTTTAGTTGACTTAAAATACCCTTGGTCACCATCATTTTGTAATTACTTATTGTTTATGTTTGTTGCAGATGAATCATGAAATGAGGTTGCATTTTGACCAGGAATTGGAGATAAATATTCAAGATGCCGTCAATATGATGACACCCAACATTATAAGGGTGGCTCGTAGTGGGAGTCAGAGGGGCCTTCTGTCAAGCCTGCTGGGAACTGAGACTAACAAAGATGATATGTTACAGCCACACTTGCACTCTCACACACACAATTGTATTAATAAAACTACATTATTTTATGCAGAGATTATTTATTTCTTCTGATATTCCAGACCTGGAAAAGAATGCAGCAATACTGGTTCTGCCTGCCCTATTCAAGGAGAGCTCCAAGTTCCTTTACTGTGTAGATGACGTATGTGTTGAATGCTGACATTGTCATTGACATTTTTTCGTATCAAAAACCCAAGCTTAATTTCTATCAGGAGGTTCCTTACATTATGTTCCTTTTCCACAGGAACCAGCAAGCTCATTCCCAACCACCATCTTCCATGATGCAGGGAATCCCTCCTCCTTGCTGAGAAAGCTTCAATAAAGTTGGATGGAGTCACTATCACAAGTGGAGAAATGTGTCTGCTCGAGGTGTATTTCCTGTTTCGAGGAGTACCCCAAACAGATACTCTCACACACTCTCATATATAGAACATTATTTGTTCAAACTAGGAAAGGGTAAGAAAAGAGTGTCTATACCGCTCTCAAAATGTACAATCAGCTTTCTCAGTGAATATTGACAGTGATTTAAATAGCTATTTTCAAGAAATTGTTTGCAAGGATGAAAAATCTTATGACGATTGTTCTTTGGTTTTTGCTGCTTGAATTTAATCTGTCACTTATTCAGTAAAATGTATTGGTAATTCCAAATGTTGAGGATTGCCCAGTGATTTGTACATATGTAAATCTATCTATCTAATCTATTTAAACTGAAGGAGGAATTGTATTTTTATTTCACATGTGGTGCTATTATATTTGAATGACTGTGTGCAAGGACAATGATTAAATAAAAAAACATTATCTGTAGAATTAAAAATGTCAATCTTTGTTGGAGATTGTTGCCATGAAGAAATATGACTTTAAGTTAATGACAGTGGTTCTGCCTTGTTATAGTCCTTTATCAATCAATCAATCAATCAATCAGTCAATCAAACTTTAATTGTATAGCACTTTTCATACAACAAATGTATCCCAAAATGCTTTACATCAACATAAATCAAACGGCAACAACATGACTCCCTCCCCCACCCCTATCCCACAATTCAAAAACTAAGGTAAAATAACTAGATAAGAACAGGTACTGAGAAAACACAGGAGGTTAAAAATGTAATAAAGCTAGATGAAATGAGATTCAGTTAAAAGCTCAACTTAAAAGGTAGTTGAGCTTGAAAATGTTTACATTGTGTTCTGCCCTCAGGTCTCCTGATAAATTGTTCCACAGACGGGGGCCATTGTAATAAAAAGATGCCTCACTGTAGGTTTTAGTTTGGACACTTGGAACAATTAAAAGACCACTACCAGAAGACCTGAGGGCTGAGAGTTAAAAGCAAATCGGATAAATAGGGGTTGCAAGGCCATTAAGAGCTTTAAAAACCAATAAGATCATCTTAAAATCAATTCTAAAACAAATGGGTAACCAGTGCAGAGACTTTAAAATCGGTGTAATGTGTGCTCTCTTTCTGGTCTTCGTCAGCAGTCTTGCAGCTGAATTTTGGAGAAGCTGTAACTGTGAAATATCCTTTTTCTGAAGACCAGAAAGAAGAGCATTACAGTAATCAATTCTACAATTCTTTATACAACCTAAAAGGTTATATATAGAACCACATGTTATTTGTGTAACTGTAGTCTATCTGGTCTATTTGAATTAATTAATTAATTTTTATTTCTGTCATTAAAGAAGAGGTGGAATGTGTTGCCAGCTTTAAATTCCTGTGAGTGCACCTCAGATGACCTGAGCTGGAGCCTGAACACTTTACACATAAGCAACGCCTCTATTTGCTGAGGACCCTGAGGCGCAACAGACTTCCTCATGATCTGTCGAAGAACTTTAACTGCTGCACAATCGAGAGCATATTGACATATGGCAACGGATCATTAAAACGGCTCTGTTTATTCATTCAGTCATTCACTGCACTAAAACTGTGATTTACTCAGTCACTGCATAATAACAACTGTACATTATAACTGTATATATTCTATCAGTCACCACAGCTGTTATTTATTTATTAATTTACTGAACAACTATTTTTCCTGTACCATAGCTTCTTTTTCACTGTTCAATTCCCCACTCTCAATCCTGCACAAACAATTTTGTATAACTGCAAATATATGTTTACATGTGAAAGATTTTGTAGGCTACATGATTGCTGCCAACAAAGGTTCGTTGTGTTCTTTAAACAATGGGAATAATGACTTTATCTATCTAGCTAAAAACTAACAGTGTTTATTGCGATACATTTAGACTTTTGCATTGTGTTTATTGCAAACGTCATATTTAACTTCATCATTCATTTTGTAATTGTATATACCCCCTATTTTTTATTTATCTTATCTAATCTATTCTGCTTAATGTGTATTTTGCATTTTGAGCTTACTTGTCTGTGCCGCTGCAACACCCGAATTTCCCCTCTGGGGATCAATAAAGTACTATCCTATCCTATATTGCTAAAATGATGCCATTGCTATTCATTGTGCATTGTGTGAATAGGCTACATAAAGACCCCTATCAGCGACAGAGCCACATCAGTATTTGGCGTATTTGGTTATTATTATACACACATTAATATGTAAATTGATAATTTTGCCTTAAATTAATTGAAATTGTATGTATTAGTTCAGTTAAAATACAAAAACACTTATGTGCTTGGGGCAAATGTTTTTATTGGATCAATTTTAAAGAAAGCAAGCGCTTTATTTATTTAATAGGATCAATATTACTATTCTGCTTTTGGGAAGTGAATAAATTCCTGATACAATGTGTGGATTAGACCCGCATACATCGGACAACTTGCCTCAGAAGAAGTTAAAAAAAAAAAAAAAATCATATGCGCATTCACAGCGCACACTTAACAACCTTTACACGTTTCCTTTGTCTCGTGATCATCAAGTGGTCGAGTCGGATTGGTCCCCACTATGAAAGTCGCCGTTTCATTGGTCGGTAAAGTATCCTGCCTGTCATTGGTCAACTTCACATGTCTGCTGATGTGCCGGTTTGGGGTGTTTTTTGATTTCGTAACTAACATTGTTTTGCATCTGTAGGGTAACGTAGTTGTGTATGTTAGTCAGAGCGACTCTACCGGGACACACGGTGCTATTCAGGCCAGCTAACTTAAATTTAACCGGTGGTAAACGCACATCCACGAAGCTACAGGCGTTACATTTGCCTTACCTGGCTAACTGGAGCTAACGTCATTACGTTATTCACATTAGTGTTAAGATGGGCGAGGAAATCAACGATAACCTTATAAATACAGGCAGCGAAACTGCTAATACTACTGGTGTTGAAGAAATACCCGACACTGTAGAAGGTGGCGTCAAATATTACACATTAGAAGATATAAGAGTACATAATATTAGCAGTGACACATGGCTCATAATCCACGGTAAAGTCTATGACGTCACAAGTTTCATTGAAGAGGTAAGAAATGTCTACTACAGAAACTACTTTGTGTTAATCTGTGGCTACGTAATGTCGCTACTTCCTGGAATTGAAAAAATGTTAATGTTGACGTGTTATGTCTGCAGAAACTAGATTAATTAATGCACCATTTAAATGGCTTGTTATGAAGCTGCGTTAAACGAGGCAACTTCAACTCCTACCGACATTAATATGCTGCTTAGTTACGTTGTGGTCCACCGTTTTCATAATGTGTCTTTTGCTTAATATCCATAATAGCAACATAATCGTCGATCCACGGTAGCTGATATAACTGCAGCAACAAATTGTTAATGTGAAGAAATGTTTTCCAGGAGTCTTATCTCACTGGAGTTTTTTGACACTTCACCTACCTAATACAGCTGTGAGATAAGGATAAGCAGCAGTGTAAGTGAATGACGTGGTCGAGAGAAATACTACGTAGCTAGAGCTAATGGGGTACTCAAGCCACATACATGTAAATTAAGTTCTCTATATTAACTATATTCATTATATTAAGAAATTGTAAAAATTCTAATCTGGTATCAGAAATGTGTTGCTGAAGCTACGTTTTGTGGACGACTTTATTTACTTTGATTTACTTAAAAAACATTGTGCTGTACTACGTACTGTATGAGTGCATTGCGATTAAGCATTGCATAACTTTTATTGTCCAACAAGGGGAAATTTGTTTTGCTGCAGGAGCACACACAAAGACAATAAACTCAAGGACAACATCAACAGTAAAAGAAAACCTAGTTAAATCGGACAAAGATAAGGAAGATTATTATCGGTTTTTATTTGGCTTAAAAAAAGTCACCATTTGCAAATTAACTTGTAACTTAATGGACATTTGCAGTGTTTAAAAAGTAAAATATTTTGATCTTAAAACTTTGGTGTTTATATATAAATTAGCCTTAGATGGAAATTTGCTACAGTAAACAAACTCTAAATTCCATAAATACAATACTTAAGTTGATGTACTTTCCACATCTAAAGGTCCATTTGGTGTAATTCCAAAGTAAGTCTGTGCTCTCCAGTGTAGCGCCGTTTGTATGGCTGGGCTTATTCAAGTATAGAAATTAGTTGTGTAATTTTCAATGTGTTGTGCAACTAAGTAACATATGTTGTTCAAAATGTTTTAACCCAATCTATGATTTCAGCATCCTGGAGGGGAGGAGGTTTTGTTGGAGCAGGCGGGTGCAGACGCCACTGAGAGCTTTGAGGATGTGGGTCACTCCACAGATGCCAGGGAGATGCTTGAGCAGTACTACATTGGGGAGCTTCACATGGTAAGATACAGCCTCCATTAGCTTTTAAAGACCTGATTTTAAACTTTAGACAAATCATGATTTAAACTTAAACCAAAGCAATCAAGTTCAATCCATTAAACTGAGCCAAATGTTTGCTGCACACATGCAGGTTGTGTTACACTACTTCCATTCCTTCTTAGCAAGTAAACACTTCATGTGGAAACAAAAAAATACAAAAAGCCATTTGAAAGGAATCTCCTCTTCCTGAATAGTTTAAATCATACAGTTGACCACAGCGAGATTGTTGTTATCTACATATAGGCACATGTAATTTGGTTGGGAGTAAACACACAGTTTGCCTCCTTCAGCAAACAGAAGACAATAACAGAGTGTGAGATAAGATGAACGAGAGATGCTAATTCAAAGAAAGATTAAACAGTGTTAATTGTGAATCAATAGTTTTTAAAGGAATAGCATAGTAGGGACATATTGGGGGAAATATAATTCTCTAGATTTGTTCGGAACCAGCCTTCACATGTTTTTTGATTTAGTTTGGTTTGACTTGATAGCTGCTTTGAATTGCTTTGAATTGCTTATCAAGTCATTGTTTTCTTAAACTTCAATTGTAAAATCAAACTTGTATAAGTGATCATGTTGTTACAGTTATTTAAATGTGTCTGTCAACAAGATGATTGGTGTGTGCCTGCTCCTCTTGAACTGAGCATTTGTAGGCAATCTGCTTCCTCTTGACTGAATTTTTCACCTGGCTGTAATCATTTGTGTCAATCGTAATACCAATTTGTTTATTTTCTTTGTAGGATGACAGACAGAAGGAGAAGGAGAAGGTAAAAAAATAACATAATTGAAAGGGGGGGAAAAAGACAATTTCCTTTTTTTGTTGCTAAATTGCAAAATATCTCTTTTTAATAATTTGTCCTTTTTTATTTTAAAGGAGGCATGTGACACAAATTCAGGAGAGTCCAGGTAAGTGCATAAACTGTGTGCCAGTCTTACTGTTTACAGCTTTAACTTCTGGTTGATAACAGAGCTGGGACCATATGCCTTTGTGGCTTTGATCACGATTCTTGGTTGCCGATTCGATTTATATTGCGAGTCTAAAGTATTGCAGGACGACAAGTATGGTGATTTGATTCAATTGGGGCTAAATGCTAGCGCTAGCAGGGCTAACTTTGATCAACGATCACCAGATCAGATCGGAATTAGAAATACTGTCCCATTCTTGTTAAACCATTTTGAGCCCCCACAGCCTTCACTTAGGTGATGCCAGTTTAGTCCAGAAGGGCTCAGAGTTTAGGGAGGAAATCCAGATTCAGCCAATGTGTGCATTGAGTGCTCCTTTACACTTTTGGAAGCTCTTAGCTTCTGTTGTTTTAAAGTTTAAAACAGATATGAAGTCACAAGGATCAACCCTAGGGGAACAAATAGATATTTGAATCGTCTAATTACTAATTTTGCCCATGCAAATATAAAAATGTAATTAAAAAAAAAATGTATATATCGTATTATCTTTTTATTTATCAGTGTTATTATTCTTGAGTGAGCCACATGAGTTATTATCTTTTTCTCATTATCTCACTGTTTATTGTCTGTTTGACTGCTGTGGCACCAAACCTTTATGTCTTATAATTCATTTCCTCAGCACTTCCTGGACCACATGGTTGATACCAGCTGTCGTTGCAACCGTTGTTGGAATCGTGTATCGCTACTACATTTTGGAACACAAATCCTCCTGAGTGCTGACATCGTGTTTTCATTTTTTTTTTTTTTTTTCATCTGGAGGCCTTGAAATGTGTGACCAAAATCTCCCGACACTGAAGGCACAGAGTTAGGAGGGAGTGCATCTTCTGCAATGAGAAACGGAGGGGAGCAGTTTGATAGAGTACTTTTGTTCTTGTCCGTCTACATAAGTGCACCAAATAGACAGTCAGACAAAGACTTTATTAAATTGTCTGCCTTCAGTTTCTATTCGTGTTGTCATGTCAATGTTCTTTTACTTAAACCTTTATATGCATTTGACCCAGTTCGGTTTTTGTGCATTCATAACTCGTTTGCCTCCTTAGAGACAATTAGGTTTTATATCCTGGTATGCATATATAATTATTATACAGATACAAAGAGAGACACAATGGACATACCCAAGGGGATTTCAGAATGCAAATTGGTCATAAAATCAAGGTAATAGTATACATTACCATGTATTTTTTATGCAGAATTACATTACAGCTACTTTTTATAAAGCGCCAACAGTTACTACTGCCTCATTCTCAATACATTATTCTTTGCACTCCTCACACACTTCCTGTGTTAAACAATGCTTGATTACATTGATCTATTTGTTGTGAATGCATAATTCTTCTAATGATGCAATTGCTGTGTCATGTCTGTGTAGTCCTTTCTGAAAATAGTGGTGAATTATATTGTACGAGTAATTATTTAAGGTAGACTATTTCCATTTTCTACAGTTAAGTCATCAAAGTAGTTAAAATTCTCAAAAACGGATCAGTAGAACATGAATTGATGTACTATGTAACCATAAAATATTTCTTAATCCTGATCTAACAAGAAACTGAATGACTGAGTGAATACCATTAAGAAGTCTAATATGTTATGTCATTGTTCTATTGTAAAATTTATTTGTTCTTCACTATGCCAATTGTTATTTAAGTGATTCTTTTTGACAACTTTGATTCATTATAATGCATCTTAATGTTTTGGGTGAATGGTACTGGCCACTGTCTCTTGAGGGTTTGAATATTGAATGAGGTCCGTCTTTTGTTATCAGAGCCATAGTTGGTCACTAAACGTATTTAACAACCTTGTAAAACCATTCATCCTGCAAGATTGAAGCATTGTGCTTCATATTATTCAAAAATCATTATACAACTACAAAGACATACAATTTGAAGTCTGTTTACCACCTGTAGGTTTAAAGTTTTCTCAGTATAACTTGCTGCTATTTTTACACAAGACTACAATATTTCTTGCCGGTTTCATCATTGGATTGGTTTACTGTTTGCATTTTTAACTGCTTTTTCCTGTCATTAAAAGTCTAAATAAAATGTATCTTTAAAAAAACACGTTGACAATATTCGGTTTATTGTGTTAAAAAAAAAAACTATGATAAATATTATTGCGATTCATCTATTTGTTGATGTGTGAAGATGATCATTTCTAATATGTTGCATCATGCTGTACATTTGGAAATTATCACAGTTTCAGGAAGTTTACTTGCTTCAACAAAAATGAGGGTTATGTTGGGAACAAGGTCCAAAACATGAAGATTGGTTGTTCAGCAAACCCAGCCAATACCTTTTATTCAACACCTTGTAGCAGACAGGGTGCTTGATTTCAGTTAAGCTACACTTAAATGGAAGTAGGATGAAGTCTGGAACACTCAGGTATTGGCCCCCATTTGTGATCCCCCTGACACACACATTGTTACAGGAAACATGTCAGTCCATTTGTAAGCATTTACACCGGGCAAACAGATTGTATTCTCATACTCTTGTACTCATACATAAAAAAAGAATGTGCTATGATGATTTATCGTATGCTTTAAAGGTCTACAAAGAGGTAATGCACTTACATTTTGTATCTCTTGTACTTATAAGCTATTTGTTTTTCTTAGGTAACTGTTCCGAGTGATAGCAGCACAAAGTGAATAACACTCGAGCCCGGCATACGCCTGCTTCACTCAGATACTTCACCTGTGCAGAGGAGCAGTAAGCAGTGATTGAAATTAAAGCCTTTCCATCTGCAAGCTTCACAAGAGTGTCCATGAGCAGCACGGCACACAAATCAAAAATCAACATGCATCGTTTCTTCCTTGTTAATCAGAAGGAACATATCAAGAGATGGGTGACCTCCTGTAACGTAAATATATGAATGATCTATTAAATAACAAAACATTTGAGTTCACTGAAAAAGACTAATGCTACTTAAAATGTCGATAATTTCATTAACAATCTCACATTACTAAGACGACAAAATACAACCAAGAAATATTGAGTAACACAAAAAAGTTAAAAAACCAGCAATCTATTTTATCAAACACCACTACAATCTAACATTCATTCCTATGTTCTTCAATGTTTGCCATGCAATGCTTACTTTGAACACAGGTGGGCACTACAACATAAAGATTTCTTAATGTCACTTAATTTGGCTTCAACTGGAAACATTTGAGGCTAAGGTGGAAAAAAACCATATCTGGACTGTTTTCGCAGCCCTGCCTTTCTCTGAAATGTACACCACAGATAGACTACTAATTTAAAAGCCTTTGATTTCATGCATGTTGTTTTCTGTAAAAATGATAACTGTTTTAGTTGTTTGTTGGAGCTCAGTTGTAGATAGTTTTTCACTTGCGCCAAAAAGCTTTGTATGCAATGGTCATTTTACCGTGTACTTGTAGCAGCAGAATTCTTATAGTGTTTCTGAATGAATGTGGGAGTTCATGAAGCCCTCACATAGACATTCTTCCCCATGACTGCATTGCCTGTCATTTCCACCAGCAGTGATCCTCAAGGAGAGCTGAGGCTGCTAATGCACATCTCTCAAGTGTCCTGGGAGACCTATGAGGCAGAAATCTCAGACTGTTGGAAAAACACTTATGGACAGGAAATCCACATGATCTCTGCAAAGTGGTTTTATTTAGTCGAAAGGGTCTCCTCTACGTGGAAAAGAATATATGTACAATTTGTATTACTTGGGACAATGTAAACAAATATTTAAAAGGGTTCTGGGTTTTATTTAGCACACAGGTTCTGAGTGCTAAATAGAGATTCACCTGCATTCAGAGAACCAGACTCCGTTTCTGTTTGCAGAGGGAATCCCAAAAGACTTTTGCAGCTTCGACAACTGCCTAAAAGGTTCACTAAAAACACTCACCTCCAACAGTTAAAAACATTTCAAACTCTTCATTCATCCTGAAGGACTTGAGCTCATGAAAGGAATTGTCATGCAAGAAATAAAGTCAATTCCCCCCAATTCCAGCTAAGTCATGTTTGTGAGCCGAGTCAACTAAATTGCAATCCATATGCACATCAAATCACATCTAATTGTCTTTTATTATTTCAAACCTCAATCTTTTCTCATCTTGTTTTGTGAAACTATATGGCCTCAAGGCCATTTGTTTTCCTCACATGCTGAAATGAATAGCTGAACTGTTTATATTTCCTCAGCAGAAACATGATCATGAATATGAACTCATCCACTATCTAGAGGCCAAAGCATCATGTTTTCATCTTATTTTATTTTATTTTTTAACGTAACCTCTAACTCAATTTATCTAAACTGACTGATACAGAATATTCAATATAATCCAATTCAAATGATTCACCAAACCACACTATCAGATGATTAAAATAAACAATTAGAAAACATTACCAAGATCCATTTACAGGTTGAATATTTGTGCCAAGAATGATTTACTGTGATGCCTAACCCTGAGGTTTATTTGCTTGATCACACAACTGCTTGTAGCCTTTTTAGCACCTGCACTGATAATTAACTGGTTTGACAACACATGCAACTTTGAAGACATACAACCCTACAAAACCTGGGACTCTTCGGTCATTTCGTACCTCATCCCTGGGGGACTGCTCCCGCTGCTTCTTCGGTGGCGTAAGTGTGTATGAATGAGGTTAGTTACTTCTGATGGTCACTTCACATAGCTACCTCTGCCATCCGTGTGTGAATGGGTAGGTGTGACATGCAGTGTAAAAGCACTTCGAGCAACCAGATAACTAGAAAAGCACACACTCAAGTCCACTTACCTTACTGTAGTTTTTTTCAGCAATTAACTCAATTTAAATCCTTCCCATGAACATACACATCCAGTAGCTTACGATAAAGCTGCATGAATACTATAACCTGAGATTTAATATTAAATATGGTCATTACTAACCTGTTTATAACTCTGATCAATATGAAATGAGGAAATGTTGCTGCCCTCCAGTGTTTCTACATGTCTGTTTTGATCTTCATAACCTTGGATGAATACAGAACATAATGACTAATTGGTAAATGTTTTTGCAATGCAATAGTGTGATATATATACTAATGACACATGTTTCAACATGATACTTTATTTCATAGATATCCATAAACCATTGAACACTTTTTCATCTTTTTTAAAAATTTGGCATTTAGAAACATAACAAAACATTTACATAATTAAGTTGGGACAGTTTTTCACATAAAGCCATGACAGCTCTTGTGATGCCCAACACATAAAAGACATTTGACTTATTTTTTTGGCGGGCCGGCATTTGCCGTAGTGTCACAAAGGAGCAACTCCAACTCTAAAATAAGTTGCATAAAATGTTTGATTCTGCATCATATCAGTTAGATCAACTTATTATCTCAAAATAAACAACCACAGCCACAGAAGTTAGCCAAGTCATCTCTTGCCAGGATAAATGTGATGACCTTTCTCCACTGTAGCTGTTTAATTACTTTCCTCCTTGCATACTCTGAAATGCCGTGACTTAAAGGTTAACTTCTCCCAGCTGTTATATGCCAAGGTCTTTGACGCAGAGAACAGATTGAAGGCGAGGCTGATGTCCTCAATCCTTCGAAGTGCTTGTAATCAGATAGTAAGCTCACAAATGTCTCGTATGAACAGAAGTAAAAATATCAGTTTCTTGTTATGAACCAGTTGACTAACCTGAGACATTTAGGGTGAAATATGTTGACTAAGGCAACACAACGCACCAAGTTTAAACTATTAAAACACTGATTTTATGAATGTCTGCAGAATAAAGGCAAACATTTCTGGGGCACAGACAAGGTTGATGGCTGACTATAAAACAACTAAAACAGTGGTTTAAGAAGCCGTCTGTGAAGTAAATCAAGTCCTGGCAAAGTTGTGTGCTAACGTAAAACGAAACAAAAATAGAATAAGTTATAAATTGAGCCCGTGTTGCAGTCAACTGAAAACTGATCAGTATGAAAATGGATAAAATAAAATAAAAGGAGAAATGTACAATAATCAATATAACTTAAATTATAATGATAAAGACTGTACAGTGGTTGTTTCAAATCTTGCCATCATAACCTCACTATGCATCAACCCATTCCTTAATTTCTTACCCTTGGTACCTTGTAGAGGGACATGCTGATATCTGGCTTTAGCTGACAGCCTGGGGGACAATAAAAGACCCCAGAGAGGTCACTGACCTCGTCCCTTACCCTGCCTGAAGGTGGTCTTTCTCCTAAGCTAAACTCAACAATGTGCAGGTGGATGATACACTAGAGCATCGCTCATGAACACTGTTGTTATTGTCGTGTATTCCTGACACAAACTGTGCGTTTGAAGAGCTGCAGCACCCAAAGGAGTTGGCCAGTGTGGGGCAAATGGACAGAGTCAGCTGTTGGACGACAAGCCTGAATTTCCTACGGAAGCTTCGGTTTATCCAGAAGTAGAAGATGCAGTTGAGGAAACCATTGGATGTTGGCAGCCAGACCACCACAAATTCAATCCACTCTGGTACGCTGCTTCCTGATACTGCTGCAGGGCACAAAACATTACAACAGTTAACAGCAGTTTCTGAATAGAAAAAATGGTTGACCTTATGGTG